CCCTAACCCTAACCCTAACCCTAACCCTAACCCTAACCCTAACCCTAACCCTAACCCTAACCCTAACCCTAACCCTAACCCTAACCCTTTCCTTCTAGTCCCATATCCGCACTATCTCATGGTCCTGCCAGCTATGGTTAAGGACTTTCTTCCTTGAGGTCCGGACAACGCTGCACCCTGGAATCAGGCAGGCCTAGGCCTTCAGCAGGGGCAGCTCTGGGAAGGGGGGGATAGGCTGCGTGATCTAAAGTATAGGGTAGATGTCCTGTAGGTTATGGAGGTCCAGACTCTCTAGGACCGCGATCTTGGCTGCAGGGATGGTGCTAAGGGGGTGATGGGCCTGGAGGTGGGCCAGGGCTGAGGTCCGCGCCATGGCGTGATGGCACTGGTAGCAGAGTAGTAGATGCCACTGTGGGTAGAAGTAGAAGAAGTCTTATAGGAGCACCTGGCTCCGGTGGGCCCTGTCTAACTAGTCTAGTGGTGGGTGCTCTGGTAGGGTAGGCGGCAGTGACTCTGCTGAAGGGCTTAATGACTGCAAGGGTCCGCCTCCTAAGCAGGAGGTAGGTGCGGCGTTAGCTTCCTCTACTAGGGTTAGGATGAACTGGTGCCACTGGTGAGAGGTATAGTGGTAGAGCTATAGTATCTCTAGTAGCAGCTGCAGGGGCAGCTGCCCTTCCTCTACCACATAGATCTGGTAGTTAATTAAGTTGCTGTGGCCAGCCTGCGCCGCGAAGATGCTGTCCACTACCTGTGTGGTGGACTGGAGGTTGACCACAGTGGCCTGCGCCCAGAGATGCTTCTTAGTGACTGTGATGATGAGATGGTGGTAGGTTAGTGCCTGGAGGCTGAAGTCCCTAAAGAACTTATGGCTGCTCTGCTGCAGCACCTGGCTGTAGAGGGAGTGGGTGCGCTGCTGGCTTAGGGGCTGGGACCCTGGTATAGTGAATAGGTCATGCTCACCCCCTGCCTGGCTGTGCTGGCTGCGCTAGCTATGCTATCTAGGGGAGGGGTTATGCGCCTCCTACCTCACCCACTGGCGGCGCTGGGCACTATGGTCATGGGTGACGCTGAGGAGGTAATGCATGAATGGGCGCACATGGAGCAGGTACAGGAGTACTAGCTGGCTAATAGATGGGGGCAGGAACTAGGCTGTGATGTGCTGCTGCCCTGTGCAGGCCCTGCACTTATGGTAGTAGGTGATGATCACCATCTCCCCCTCATGGATGTAGAGGTTCTGTGGGGCCACTGTGCTGTTCTGCTACTTCACTGTTACAAGCTTACTACCCTGGCTGGGCTGGCCCTAGGAGAGTTGGATGGTGAGCATGAGCTGCTGGAGAAATACCTGCATGGACTGTAGATACTGCTGGATAGTGGGTGGGTCCCACTGCCTATGGTGGTGCAGCGGGGCGACTCCCTTGGGGGGGGCCTCTGCCTGGTGCATGATTAGTTTCCTAGTCACCTTGAGCTGGTTTGCTGGGAGCTTTAGGAAGGAGAAGCTATACCCCTGCATAGTGGGGGTATCTGCGAGTGCCTGCACGCGGGCAGGGGACTGGTAGCCTAGAAGGAGGTCGCGCTTAAGTATAGTGGTGGTGGACTGGATGACCCACTGCACCCACGCGCGCAGCTAGGTGAGATGCAGCCCCTGGTCCATCAGCTGCGGGTGGTAGATGGTCTGCAGGTTATGGGACCATTGGATGGTGCTAGGGCGCGGCTCGCGGTGTATAATACTTAGGCCGACCACTAATATAGTGAGGATTTTATTTAGCGGGAAGAATGTGCCCTGGGCGCCATAGATTGCCTGGATGGCCTGGGCCTGTTAGGTATGGAAGGGGTATGTCTCCCGGCTGGGGATATCACTGATGAACTGGTAGGCGTGGATAGGGAGTGCATACTCCAGCAGGAGCACCTAGGCCACCCAGGCAATGCCAGCGAGCTTGGTGGTATAGTGGTAGGGCTTATAGATACTGAGGCCCTGGGGCTGGATCCCCAGCACCGCAGCAAAGGCCACCAGGGAGGAATAGAACTTGTCACCCTGCTGGTAGATGGCTTGGGTCGTCAGGCTGCTGATACAGAGGGAGAAGAGCATCTTGGTGAGCCAGGCCTCTGTGACTGCCAGTAGGGCTGGGGGCTGACCAGGGTGGGCATGCTCAGGGGTGGGCTCCCCCCAGGTGGGATTAGACCTATTATTATCAGGCTCCTTGGACCCCCGCAGTGGCTTATTAGGGTCTAGGTCTGTGAGGAAGTCCTCCTTATTAGATGCATTGGAATCACACCCCCTACTACTGTCCTAGTCAGTGGAGATGGCCTCCTTTGGGATGGTGTCATCCTTAGAAGCTGAAACTGAACCCTCTGGGCTGTAGTTATCATCGTCACCATTATCATCAATGGCATCATCCTGGTTAATGCCTGCGGTGGGGTCTGGGTCAGGTGATGCAGTGGCCTTATGGAGGCTGGAGGCCCTAGTAAGGTTGTAGTAGGGGCCCTGGATGCTGGTGGGGCAGAGGGGAACGCAGACTGCCACTATTACCTGCAGGGCCGCTGTGGGTTGCCTGCTCGCGACCCTAGGGCTATCTAACTAGGGGCCGGGGGCGCTTCTAGCCATGCTGCTGGGTGGGGTAGGGGACGGCTGGTGCTCATGCTTATGGTGGCAGTAGTAGCCATGATGCGGCTGCAGGTTGATGGAGCGGGGCCGCTTCCTAGTGGATTGGTGGGACGGCCCGGCGGCGGGGGGTAGTAGGGTGGTGGTGGTGGCATCTGGGGATCTATTCCAAGGTGATGGCTGGGGCCGCCACCGCTGCTACTGCTCACCACCACCACTACCATCACCACCACCACCACCCCCACCCATACTGGCGCCGAAGTCTGGGCTGAGTAGGTTGTGTAGCCGTCACAGCCGGCTACTGACCTGGAGCAGGGCCCAGAAGGGATTCTCCGGGCCTGGATCAGTCCACTGGTTGAGGTCAGGGTCTTCCAGGTAGTTATTTAGGGTCTGCTAGATTATCTCAAGGGTGCGCCTCTACTCTGCATCCAGGGCGACCCCAAGGAGACGCCCCTGGTCTGTAGATATGAGGGAGATGGCCTGGAAGAGGAAGTAGAGATAGTGTTTCTAGTACTGTGTATATTACTGCTCTATCTCTGGCTGGAGCTATCCTAGGGCCTGTCTCCGCGTCTGTTCACCAGGCATCTAACAGCCAAAGACCTCCTGGATAGGGGCTGGGGTCCGCTCCAGCGTCGCCCGGGCCTAGTCTAGGACCCAGTCCATCCCCCGGCAGATAAGGGTGAGGATGTGGTTATGCCGGTCCTGCCGCGCCTGCTGTTTAGGTATGACTATGGGGGGGGAATCCCCTGGGCTGCCCCCGCCCCAGAGCGCCTGCAGCGCTGGCAGGGCCTGGGGGGTATTAGGCATGCCTGCAGCATGGATCAGGCCTAGTAGGGAGCGTCGGTGGAAGAATTGGGGCCACTTAGTGAAGAGCAGCCATGGGGTGGTATCATCCTGCTGGTGGCGATGGGCGTCGAAGATAAAGAGGGAGGGCTTAGGGTGGTTAGTAGTCACTGAGGCTGCGTCCCCTGGATGGACCCCTGGGAGTAGTGCATGCTGTTCAGCCTCCAGGATCTGGTGCTCCTCTGTAAGGGCGGTCTGCACCCAGCTGGGTGGCGTAGGGGACCCTATGAAGGGACTTTGGTGGTAGCCTGCCCTGGCTGCAGGGGGGGAAGACGGTAGAGGTAGGGATGGTGTGGTAGGGGATAGTGATGCTAGGGTGGTGCTAGTAGTAGTAGTTGTAGTAGTAGTAGTAGTAGCTGTCTAGGTAGGGTCCTGCTCACTGTGCTTACTCTCTGCATCTTCTAGCCTAGCCTAAGGAGGAGGTGGAGCGGTGGTTACTAGGCAGTCTAGCTTATCATCATCATCATTATCATCATCATTATTGTCCTATGTTAACTAAGGGGCTATGACTGGGGTTATAATAGCTGCCCCCTCCTCAGAGCCTTCTAGCCCTGGGGGAGGCGTAGAGGCAGTCCCTGGGCTATCTGGCCCATCATCCCAGATCAACCCTATATCTGGCCCATCATCCCAGGTCAACCCTATATCTGCAGCTAGGGCCACCACCCCCTCCTCCTCTGCCCCTGGCCCGAGGTGCGGTGACTAGTTATTATCCTGGTGTAGGTGGTGTCTGCTAGTGGTTTGAGGCTTACTAGCCCTGTTCCTGCTGCCCTGAAGTCCATCATCCTGGTGATATAGGGTGGCCTGTGTGTGGGATGGCTTGGGTTGGCTTTGGGTTGGGGTCGCTATTGAGGTTGGGATAGTTGGGCTGGTTGGCATAGTTAGGCTGGTCAGCATGCCTGGGCTAGTTAGGCCGGCTGGGCTGGTAGGGATGGTTGGGCTGGTCAGGCTGGTTCGGCTGGTTCGGCCGGCTAGGCTGGTGATAGGGGGCAGGGTTGGGGTTAGGTTTGGGGCTGGGGCTTGGGCTGGGGTTGCGGCCATAGGGGTTGTGGTTGGGGTCATGGTGGCGGCCACAGTTAGCTGGCTGGTCGAGGGGTCTGACTGGAGGGAAGAGGAGGCCAGGCTTAGCTGGGTGGGCTGGCTAGGCTGCGCTTACAGCGGTGTGGGCTGTAGGAGGGGCTCAGTTGGGGTTAGGGGCTGTGTGGACTGGGCAGACTGGGCAGACTGGGCAGACTGGGCAGACTGGGCAGACTGGGCAGACTGGGTAGACTGGGCAGACTGGGCAGACTGTGTTGGCTGCGTGCCAGGGACCCCAACAATCCAGTAGTGATGATAGCGGCTATTAGTGAACCAGGCTTGTGCCTTGGCCTGCCATGATGGGGGCTGCTGGTGAACCATGGGATGGTCCTAGTAGTGGTGCTCCTGGATCTGGTGGGTACTATGGCTGAGGAAGGTCCTGCAGGTGCCACAGCACCAGACGCGGTAGACTGGGAGCTGGGTGATTGGCTCACTGCCATGGCGGTGGGGTGGGAAGTCCAGGTGGTCCTAGTGGGGCCGGATGCCCCTAGGTAGGGCGTTGAGCTGTAGGCGACGCTCCTGGGCTGGGAGGTGGTGGGTTTCCTGCAGATGTCGCTGGGCTAGGTGGCCAGGGACGGCGACTGTACATACCTAGTAGATGATAGCCTGATGCTCTGGGAGGTAGTCATATAGTGGCGGTGTAGGCACAGCTATTAGTGTTATAGTGATTATTCATCAAGGGCGTTGTGGTGGGTAGTAGTTAGCTAGTTAGTTAGTTAGGGGTGCGGCCACCGAACTGAGGGCTGGTCAGGTTTGATTTTGGGGGTTGATTTGATTGATGGGTGAATGGGTGATATAATAAATTTGGTGATGGCTTGCACAGATCTATTGTGCGTGCGTGATTTGGGGATGGGATGGGAGGGGTGTGCAGCTGGTTGTATTAGTTTTGGGCTGATTTAATTAACAAATAGGGGACTGATTTGATGGTGGATGGTGCCTGAGTTAATTTGATTTGATTCAGGGTCAATTTGATTGATGGGTGATATGATGAATTTGGTGGGGATGGCCTGCATGGATCTCTCATGTGTGTATGATTCAGTGATGGGACAAGAGAATGAGGAAGTGAAGGAAGAAGGATAGAGGTAGGTAGAGAGGGGGGGAGAGTAAGAAGGAAATAAAAAAGGGGGGGAAAGAGACATCCTGGTTTATTATAATTTTTAGGTATATATGGGTGCTAGTGCGGATCTGATTGGCCCGCGCTGTGGCTGGCCAGTGCTAGTATAGATCTAATTGGCCCGCGTCCTAGCCGGCTAGTGCTGGTATGGATCTGATTGGACTTTGTTCTAGCTGGCCACAGCTATTGGTTGTAGCAAGCGCGGCGACTGGGCTTAGGTCATTGCTAGCACTTACTGTTGGCAGGCCTAACTGCGCTGGGGCGGGCTGCAGCGGGGCCACAAGTGGCATTAATTATGTGGTGCGGCTGTGTGGGTTGGCTAGACTGTATTAGGCGCCAGGGGCTAGATGCCCGTGAAAACCACCCGATGGGGGACAACGACGGTGTAATGTAGCTACTGCAGCGCAGGAGGTTCAATGGCAGCTGGTCAGCTAGCCTCTGGGAGGGATCCTGGCACGGACTCTGGCAGCGCAGAGGGGCCTGAGGGCACAGGGGTGCGTGGAGGGTGGTCTGGACTAGGGCCATTATAGCCGGCAGGCGGTGATATATATCTCCATGGGTCTGGTCCGCCTCCGGTGCCGGAGTGGCAACACCCAGCGGGAACCACCTCACCAACAGTGAGGCTGGTCGGATTGCGGCCTGGTCCAGGGCACTACAGCGATGCTCATGCACTGAATGCATTGGTCCCGGGCGCCTGAGAGTGCGCGTGGCGGGCGGGTCACCCCCCTTGACGGCGGCGCGGGCCGGATCCCGACCAGTGCACTAGGATGGCAGCACCACCATGGCCCTGCGGCACGCCGCGCGCGGTGGGGGGGGATGGCTAGCGAGGCAACTGACACTAGGACACCCTGGTTGGGGCGCCGCGAGGTGAGCCCCCGGCACTAGTTGGGGATGCAGTGGCCGGGTGAGGGGGGTGCGGAAACACATAGTAAGACACCCGGCGACTGGGGTTGGACCCTATACGTAGAGCCTAGGGGTTGTCCCTTATAGGTGGTAGGGGTGGGCTTCCACTATGGGGGAACTAACATAATGGACTACCCACCTGCGCTATTATATCCTAGTTACCTAACCTCTTATATAAAGTTAATTAGACTCCAGGGAACTCTAATATAAATTACTAACTATATAGTAGGATGGTTAATTCCTAATCTAAATATAGATGTAGTAATAATCTATGCTAGTTGACCATCCCACCAGTGCTATAAAACTGCAGCCTTCTACTTAGTGCTACCTAACTTAGAGTAGTACACAGGACTATAGATAGCCTCAGCAATCTGCTTAGTAATGGTGATCTGCCAGCCATAAATAATATATTAGGTACCTAGCTAGACTTATATAATAGATGCTTGGATAGTGGGAATGGCAAAGTCATGGATAAGATTATAATAGGGTGGGCACTGACAGACCTAGTAATATATATCTTATTAGGTAGTGGGGCTGCAGACTATCTAGGCTCTGTGTAATAACATTGCCCTCTTAAACTCTATAACCATAAATAGGGGCAGGGTCCTAGTTAAGAATACCATTAGGACCTCTAGATTGTGTAACTATGGTAGGAGTACTATTACTAGCTGGTATAATATAGCAGTGACTGCCAGATGACACTTATTAAAAACTACCTGGTCTAGCTAATTAGCTATATATAGTTAGTTAATAAACTAATAGAACTTAGGCTGCATAGCCTAGTTGACAGCAACCATAATAAGTGGATAGGAATATAACTAATCTAGATCAGTTTAGGCATCCTATACATGGGCTATAATACCAGCCTCTACATATTAATGCTCTAACTTAGCCTTAAGCACCACTAGTAGTAGAATTACTATAGTAGTGCTGGCCCCTAGCAGCTAGCAGGGCAGGAGGTATAGTAAACTCTTCCCTTTACTAGTCTAAAGGATTACTAGAACCTGCCCTGCACCCACCATAATATGCTGCATGGCCTGCTCTTATCTATCAGACTAATACTATGCATCAGGGCTGTATATCTACTATAGTACCTCTATAGCCTGCTTCATACACTAATATTACTGGGTCCTTATAGGGGCTTCTTAATATACCATATGCCATGCAATAGAGGTCTCCTAGTCTTTAATCTACTACTACTTAGATAGCATGGCTATAGATGCAGTCTTAACACTGCTAGTTATACTTATAGGGGATTTATCCCACTCCTATACTATTTAGGGTCTAGTATACTAGCTGTTTAATGGGGTCGCCCACTGCGGGAACATGTAATGTGGTGTTACTATAGCTAGCTTAAAATAGAGAGGATCACAGATAAACTAGTACCATAGCTAGCTAATATATTAGTACTCCTATAGCCTAGCATTGGTCAGCCCTGCCTAGAAATTCACAGTCCTGCTATACACCTGATTCCTAGTATAGGGTGTGTGGCTAGCCTGCCAGTGTAATACATCAGATATACTACCTAATAGGGACTATGGATCCTCCTTATCTACCCCCTCCCCTTCCTTAATTAGTAGGTTAGCTTTAGTGGCAGTGAATTTCCATCAGGTAATCCTAATTATGATCTGGTGCTATGCCTAAATATAGATATGCTTTCTAAGGATTAGCTTCCTAGTATGAATAATAACCTAAGTCATTATATTATTAATCTATAGGCTAGTGCCATGTGACCATAGGTAATTAGAAATAGCTATAGGAATCTAGGTCTCCTACTAGAGAAACTTATAGAATGGTTAGATAATAGCAAGGTACTAGGTGACTAGCTAGGCAACCTCCAGGAGGAGGAAATGAACTAGCTATTAGGATGCATTACTCTAACTCTAGGTCTTATAGTAGCTTAGGATAAAAAGTATCTGCCTATCATGCAGGAATAGATCTTATATAGTTAGGGTAGTATTCCTCTATTAGAGCCCTAGGAACTCAGTCTAATGCCCCTGCTAGCTAGACCTAAGAAAGAATAGAACTAGGAGTGCTTAGAGAAATTTCTATACTACATCTTTATACTACTGTGTAGTATTAGTAGACACAACCTAATAACCCTCCACTGTCTGCAACCAGAATATATAGAATAGAACTAAGGTCTTTCCCACCTAAGTAATTAGCCAGTCCTTTAATAGATCTAAATAGGATCTATTATATAAATTAGTAAGGAATGACTAGCCCGGCACAGTAGCATCCTAGTTATCTACTAGTTAGTCTAGATCTAGAATAGGGACCTTAGATGCAGGAGTTAATTAGTTACTAAGGTATAGCTCTTCTTTAAAAAGTTACTGGGCCATGGTGAGCCCCTTAAAGATGATATAATGCAGATTAGAGAGGTGGAAAATTACCTTAGACTAGATAAGTATCTTACCATCTGCATGCCACTGTAGCTATACTGGCAGCACTTTAGTCTTACTAATATAGAAGCCTAATAACTAGTTCTCTAGTAATTCAGCTACTAGACCATTAGTGTTATTTAATAACCACTAGTCCTGGATGTCTATAATCATGGCACTAATATCCACCTCTAGTTGATTAGCTGTCTCTACTAGCACCTAGGCCAGCACCACCATCTAGCAGTTATAGATTAACTGTAATAGGATGGATGTATAATTCCTAACCATTATCTATATACCCTAACTACCCTAACTAGGGCTCTAGTACTACGCAGTAGTATAGGAGATAAGGACAGAATCAAACTTATAATGAGGAACCAAATATTAGATAATAGTAAGGCTAAACTCTAGGATAGCCTGGTCCAGCTAGTCCTGGAGAGCTGCTTTGCTGGCCCCTTCTTAATCTAAGTTAATATTAATAGCCAGCTCACTTACTACCTTAGTCACCTCAACCCATGCCTCTAACTATTGATTACTAGGTTAGAATAGTATATCTTAGAGGTGGCCCTGCTTAACAACTTACTCCTAGTAATAGATTAGCTATTGTTAGGTATCACTATATTTACAGCAGGACTAATAGTTTTATAGGTTAGTAATAGGATCCTGTGATGCCTCCCCCTAGGTAAAGGTATTAAGTAGCTATGTGTTCTAATAACTTAGGTAGCATACCTCTAGGTTCTAATTATATATAAGCATAGTTATAGTATTCTCTATTACTTGCCTAGCACTCTTATAGATTAAGTATAGACTAGGTTCCTCCTCAGACTTAAGTAGTTAGTAACTAGGGCTGAGTTCACTTAAATTTAGCCCCTGAAGGTGGATGTAGATGCCTATATACTTCATCCATGGGGTAAGCTCTGAGA